CTTTCCCAATTGTTCCAATTTTGATTGAAGTTTTGTGATTGACTAGTTGAGACGTCTCTATTTGTTGAATCAGCAATCTTTTGAAAATGTAAAGCCGTTTGTTTTTTAATTTCATCAGGAATTAATTCTAGATGTTGTTTAGGAGTGTCTGCGTGAATCATGATTCGATCAAGAATAATTGCTTTTCTATTCCTTTCAAGGCAAGAGTCTATCATTTTGGTGGATGAATTCTTGAAATTGTCATTTCGTTTTTTAATGAACTCTGAAATCTGTTCATTATTTTCAGTTCTAGAGATAATCTGTTGTTTGGCTTGCATGGGTTTAATAATGTCATTTTTTAGTTCGGATAAATAGTTAAGAGGACGGTATGCTAGAAAATGACCATCAATAGAGGCTGTAGAGATAAAATATTGGGAAGCAATGGTTAGTAAGGATTTATGTTCTTCGATAGAGATAGGAAAAGAAGGAAAAGAAGTGAAAGGTGTGGGTGATTGGATTAGGAATTTGTTAATTTTATAATAGAGTTTGGATAATTTTTAATATGTTTGTGGATTGAAGAGTTGGAAAAGGTGAATAAAGAGTTATGGCGAGAAGTTGTAGTTTGTTTGAGAATATGTTTTTTGGCGGAGGTAATAACTGTATTAACAAAGAAATCTCAAGCAGCATTGAGAGAATTTTGAGATTTATTAAGATCATGAACTATACAAGTTCGGTACTTTGGATTGGTTTTAAGTAGAAGATCCATTTTGTCTGCAAAAAAATCCCATTGAAGTAAAGTAGTTATGTTGAAAAGAAAATTCTGCTTGGTGATTTTATGTTACTTTGAATATGCGTTGGATAACTGATTGAAAAAATTGTTTTTGTATAGTGATATAAGAAGGGGGAGATGATCGGATGAGTAAAGAAAAGAGAGATTGTTTAAGATATCAAAGGAAACAAGGTCGTGTGCAAGAGAAGACGAAATGAAAATATAATTGATATGAGAAAAAAATGAGTTAGAAGTTAAGGTGAAGGTAGCGGGAAAGGAGGGTGTAAAAGGAGAGATTATATGAAGAAAGCCAAGGTTGATGATATTATGGAGAAAACTTTGTAAGATTCTTTTGCATTTAGCCTTGTAATTTCTAGAAATGTCAATATTGAAGTCACCCATAAGGATGACGTGAAAATTATTTTT